CCCCAAAACCCCAAAACCCCACTGAAAGAATCTTGTAATTAGATTTAGAAATTGTATTATGAAATCATGCTTAATATATAATACATGAAAATCTTATTAATCATATCCATTTTGGCCGCATGTTATTTTCAAATGTGACCCTCCTCCAATATTAAATCAATATTATGTCTCCAATGATTAAGATTTTCAGATTTTTGAGTCTTAATTTTCTTAAATTTGATAGCATCCAAATGTGAATCCTCAATGTTTTCAGTGATTTCATGATTATTGTGGAGGTCTGGATGCCCTCCAGAAGGATTATGATATTCAAAATCATCACTTTTATTTTTCTTATGTAATACTGTTTTTTCCTGAGCTCGCTATTGCTTCTTATCAACATTCAAATCATCAAACTCATCCTTCTTTTAATCTTTATTTTCAAGATCTTCATTGTGATCATCTTCCTTTGGAATAATCTTTCTTTCCTAATCAGATTATAAGAGTTTTGGGCCTAGAGAATTCATAAGAGTTGAAGTTAGGGGCGTGCATATAAGTATTGATAAAATAGCTGTTGTCTAGATGTTAAGACCGTATTAATAATATTCCTAATAAGACTCTCCCTTTGCTTTGGCTTCGGTTATGATTAGCCCACTCAAGGTTGCAGTGATTGTGCCTTTAGAATCCCAACTAAGAGCCATCAGTAGTCTCTCTTTATTGTTGAACTGCTTCCCTGTAGTGACAATGAAAACTCCAAGTATTCTTATTAAGCTACCTAGAATGATGATCACTATGCTATTTCCAACATCTGAAGCTCTAATCGAGTTGAAAAGAAGTGAAGCACCAACAGTACCAAATAAGAAGGGCTGAATATACCAGAAAATAGTACCCATCTCTTTAGTGGGCTTCTAATCGCCCCAAAATCTGAAGCATGTATATCCAAAAGACAAGCAAGCTATAAATTTTGAGTTGGAAAAGTTGTTAAATTCTGAGGCCAGAACAAAAGAGACTGAGCAAACTGTACAGTATACGCATTTGATCCAAATAAGATTTTTAGCATTTTTCAAATACTTGAAGAAATAAGCTGTAAGTCCAACTAGGACACCACCAGCTAGTCCAACAACGTTCTAAATAAATAGCATTCCTATTGTCAATGAGATGTCACTTTTTTAGCCAGTGATCTTCTCTGATGCTTCGCTCATTGCTACAGCTTGTACGATTCCGAACATAATAATGCAAATAATATTGTCAAATGTACTTGAAGCAATCATAGTACCTGGGATACCTTTAGATTTACCAAGACCTCTTTCATTGAAGCTCAACATTGCAGGCACAAGAACAGCACCTGCCATAGTAGACATAGCAAATCCCAAGCAGAAGCATACTTCAATCGGCATTTTAAAGAGGCCAAAAGTCAGAAATGCTATCGAGGAGGCCTCCATAAGTTAAGGAACTGTACATAATAGCAAAACTACGAGTCCCTTGCCTTTAAAGCTTACTGATAATCCACCTCTTGTTAATAAAATAGACAAGATGCAACTTCTGATCCATTATGTCCAAGCAGAGGGGTAAGGTTTCATTATAGTGCCTGCAAAATTTCTTACTAGCATCCCAGCAATAATTTACACAATTAGAGAGGGAATTTGTACTTTTTGCATTAAAGGTTTGATATAATAATTTGGAAAAATCCAAAATTTCTTAAATTGATAACCATTTAGCAGTCCAAACAATAAGCCAGCTACTCCAGCTACTATAACCACTACAAAGAGGGCTTGAATTTGTTCAGAGTTTGAGTATTATATCTGTAATTAAGTCATAAATTTTATAAATTACATCAATTACAAATTTCCATCACTTTATAGTTTCTTGGGGTTTTGGGGTTTTGGGGTAGCTGGCTTA